GTGGGGCAGGGCCGTCCTGGGGAATCCAGGGTCGGCGGGTTCCGGGGAGCCCAGGCAGCCACCGGGAGCGTGTGAGGGTGGTCAGGTCCTCGGAGCGGTGTGGGAACCGGTGGACGGTCGGGAGCAACAGGGCCCAGGAAAGGCGGGCGCGTGGGCAGCCTTGGTGATGGTGGGCAAATACCTGAGGCCGGCTGGCTCCTCCCTCTGGCGGACATGGAGCGGCTCTCCCCGCCTGGGGTGCCTCCCCAGCTCCCGGTCTGGACTCCTCATCCCTGCACATGGGGGGGGGGGCCCTCGGACGGAGCCAAGATGGGAACCGGCTGAGATGAGGCATAGCCGCCGGGTCTGGGAAGAGAGTGGGGCTCGGGTGTGGGGTCGGGGAGGTGACGCAGGGCCATGGCGCCCGCAGTGTGGACGAGGTGGCAGAGTGGTCCTCCGGCTGCCGGAAGTGGGGGCCCTGTTGGGCGCTGACGTGGTTTGGCTTCGGGGTGAGCGTGGTCTTGGTGGACAGTTCTGGGAAGGCGCCCGGGGCACAGGGTGGGGTGGGTAAAGGGCTCGCAGACGGTGGGGCTGAGGTGCAATGTGTGACGTCACCTGGAAGCTGCTCCCCGGGGGGCAGCGGGAGCAACCTGCTCACACCTGAGCCCCAATCCGCAGACAGGGGCAGCCCCGGCTGATGGTGGGTCGCTCGGAAAGGCACTGGGTCTCCCATCGGAGGCCGTTTGGGTTTCCCTGAAAGAAGCCCTGGTCCCAAGGCCAGTCCTCAGGCGTGAGCCCTTTAAAGAACCAGACGTGCTCTGCCGGCCGCTCTGAGATGCTCGCGGGAACGCGGTCAGTGAGGCCCACGGCAGGGGCGTGCCTGTGGCCTCAGGAGTCCGCGGAGGCCTGGAGGTCGGCCTGGTCCTGCCCTCGCTGTCCCTCTGTCTGTCCCTCTGTCTGTCTGCACTCACTTTGCTACGTCTTACCATCGAGCGGGTGCCACGCTCTGTGCAGTGGGCGGGGCTGTGGGCCGT